GGGAGTCGTCTGCAATGCGAGTGGGCAGGGGTAGGGCGGGGGATCCGTCCTGCGGTGATGTGTCAGGTGTAGTCAACCGTGGTCGCTTCATGCCGAAGTCCAGGAGGGAGGCCTGAGATGGATCGGCTGGGCGTTTGTTGGATGAGGTGGGTGTGGGGGGGAGGGGGGGGGATGAAGCCTGCTGGGCGAGTTGGTTGTGTGCGTCAGCAAGCTGTTGCTGAAGCTGGAGTATGGTGGCCGCGGAGGCCGGATCGGCCGTAGTGGTGGGTCGGAGGGAGATGAGGAAGTCGAAGATCTTGCTGGTGAGTAGCTTCATGGCTGCTGGTTTGGTGGTCGAGGCGCCCTCCTGCGTGGCTACATGGAGGGCGAGGGCGTCCAGGTCGAGGTGCCGTTGTCGGATTTGGCTGAGTAGTCCAGCAGCAAACACTGATTCCGGCATCGACTTTGCGACAACGATGCGGACTTCGCCTCCGTGGGCGAGGTGACGCAACCACCAACTGTTCCACTGTTCGTGCATGAGGTGGAGGAGGGGGACGCGAGCGATGTCTTGTCCCTCGATGCCCATTTGCCGAGTAAACGCGGTGTGCGTTATGACCTTGGGCAGGTCGTACCCCGCGACGCGGGTGGTGTCGTAGTGATCGTCGCCAGGGTTGAACTCGGTTGGTGTTGGGACTGAGTGGACGGGTCGAAGGGCCGGGGGAGGTTTGGATTGCGAGGCGGTGGAGGGGGAGGGGAAAGGTGGAGGGCGGGTGAAGGGGCCGGGGGGAGGGGGGGGAAAGGGGTTGCCGCCGGGAGGGGGGGGGAGAGAGCCGCCAAAGGAGGGTGGACGAGGGCCGGGGTGTGGTGGGTAATGGGGAATAGGTTGGCCGTAGGTCTGACAGGGAGTCGGATGTGTAGTTGGCGGTGTCCATGTCGTGGAAGAGCATCCGTAGGAAGGTCCGGACAGGGCCCCGCACGGGTTTCCGGCCATGTTGTTGCCGTACATGATGCCATGATGATGGGATGCCGTGGGCGAAGGCTGCGGTGGTAAGTTTTGCCTTTGGAGCATCGGAACCAAACCTCGAGGGGGTTGGAAAGCCATGAGAAAACACGGGGGAAAAGGAAATGTTCGAACCAAAAGCTGGTGAGCGGAATCAAGCGGGTAAGGTCACAAGGCGAGAGAACGGTCGCAGAAAGGCAGAACAGCAAAGCAAAGAAAAAAGGCGATCAAACAGTGCACCAATTCTTTTCCTGGTTGGGTGGAAGATGGTACACTTGCGCCCCGCTAAGCCGGGCGCTGCAGCGCGATGCCTCTCAGCATCGCAAACTTGGAGTGAAGGCACCACTTTTTGCCTCGGCGGCATGCGAAGTGGCGCCGCACGTTGTGTTGATCCTCGTGGCTTCCCCCGGATTCGAGGATTTTGTGCTGATTGATGGAGCGTAGTTCCCCAAAAGCGATGGCGCCGAGTTGAGACTTTCCGATTGTAAAGTTCTGCAAGAGCTGGCCGAGCGTGTCGGGCGTGCATGCCGTGGGGGTGGCCTGAGCGTAGCATCCAAAGCTCGGGTAGTCATGGTTCTCGGGCCTCCAAGCAGCGGGTCGGATCATGTTCTCATGGCACATGCGGCGCACTCGATCCGGGGTGGTGCCGTGCACATACATGACAGCGTGATGGGAGGCCGTGCCGGATCCAGCTTCCGGGTCTCCGCCAGCAACTGGCCAAGGATGAGGTCGGGGAAACCAAGTGGTTGCGAACACCATGCCGTGTGATTCCCGTCCCAAGAGGTGGTAGAAGCTGGGATCGAACGGTATGGGATCATCCGTGTCCATGGTTCGCAGTTCCCAGCATTCCGCGAGGAGATCGGCATGTGAAGGTGGCAAAGCAGGGTCCAGGTCCATCAAAATGGCCTTAGTCTGTTCCACCCTGGAGATGTCCAAGGCTGGAAGCGGGTCCAGCTCCCCCAACTCCCTAGGCGTGGGAACTCGCAGCGGGTCAGTCTTGGCCGTGTCCATGACGTTTCTCCATAGATCAAGCCACCGGTTGTCGGAAGTGGTGGTGGCATTGATGTCCGCCTCCGATGGAGGGGGATCCAAATCACCGGTGTTGTCGAAGGGGGGTTGGGGAGGGTGAGGAGTAGCCGGCGTGGGTCGGGGAGGGGGAGGGGGAGTGGAAGTGAAGGCCGCCGCAGGTGCTGGGTGAGGGGGCAAGCTAGTGTTGTGGTGGCCGGTGCGGGAAGTGGGGTGGGGTTGCTGCCCATGGTGCTGCAGTGACCAGGACGATCGTTTGTCCTGGTTGTTTCGGTGGCCGGTGTGGCTGGCGCCATGGTGGTGCATGTCCCAGCGGTTTTTGTTCTGTGGTGGGTATCCCCACGATTGGTTCCGCCAGTGTGAGGAGGACCATTGAGACTTGTTGGAATCCTTCCCGGAAGTGCGCCAGGAGGTGGAATCATGAGTAGTGTGAGTGGGTCGGTGCGAAGTCGTGGCTCTGGGTGCAGGGGAGTGTCGATGGTGGGACCTGTGTCGGGGGGAGCGGGAGCGGAGGGAGACAGTGGAGTGGTGTGCACGTCGGGAGTGGTGGAAGTGTCGGGAAGGGGAACGTGACCTGCTGTAGCTGCGGGATCGTCGGGTGTCGTGTCGTCGGTGCGACTTGTTGTGCCTGCGATGGTGGCTGGTGTGGGAGTGGGAGTGTCGGTGCTGTCTGTGGCGGGAACGGGATCTGCGAGAGTGGGGATGGTGCCGAGTGTCCGGGGGAGGGTGGTTGGTTGAGGAGGTAGCGGCAGGAGCCGCAGCGGCAGCTTCGGGCGCGCGCGCCGGCTGAGGCTCGGGCGGTGAAGATGGCATGCTGCTCTGAGTCATGAAAGGCATGATGGTGCCAGGTGCCAAGTTGCCGTAATTGGGAGGGCCACCGTAGGGCATCATGGCCATCGGGTTGCCAAAGTTCGAGAGGCCGCCGTAGGGCATCATGGGGAAAGGTGTGAAGGATGCCGTCTGCGAGTTGGGTGACGGTACAAGGTTCATGGGCTGCGTCATCTGGGATGACCAAAGCGGTGTCCAGAGTCCGCCCATGCTGATCGGTCAGCTGAAAGCGGTCCTCTTCCCACTTCACCGAGTAGCCCCTCTGCACCAGGTACCCCAGGGGAACGATGGGCTGGACCTCCTCTGTGGTCAGCAACATCCTCGTCCACGGGATGAGCCGCAAAGAGACCGTCCCCTGCGCCTAGCTGCAAGTTCGGTCCACAATTGCCTGGTGAGCCGGACGCGGTGCCGGTCGCAATGCTATGCAGGAGCGAATGCATCATGTCATAGAGCTGGTGTCCAGCCATCTCGCAAGGGAGAGAGAAGGTTGGAAAGGGGTGAAAACAAAACCACAACTGCGGCAAAAATGCGTCAATGGTGCAAATGCATGCGAGCCAACTTCAACCTGCGAATCGAAACCAAACAGAGGGAATTCCACCAGGGGACCGCCAAAACCCCGCGGCAACGGCAAAAGTTTCCACAGAAATGCATGCGAGCACAAAGGGGTTCTCAGAGGTGCCTGTCAAGTGGCCTCATGAAAGTGCCTCATGTGGCTATGCCGATGAATCTGAACTGAACTCATCCGAGACGAAAGCTTCCATAAACGCCACGAATTGCAGAGTTGGTGTATGACCAACTCGTCACTGGCGCATGAAGCTTAGGAACCTGAAACCTCGTGGGTGCAGCCTTGCTTCAAAGGCAGGCAGTGCAGGCAGTGCAACGCGCATGAAACCAGCAGAGCACCATTTGGGTGCGGAATACCTTAAGACCTCAAGCTGCAGCCTTGATCGTGGTCAATCGCGCTGAACTGAACTGCAGCTTGAATTTGAACACTTGAACGGTCTTCCCCTCGCAGGGGGCTCCCGCATGTGGCGAGTCCAGCCCACAGCGCCATGTCGGACAGGCCGTGGGTAAACACACTTATCTCGAGAGGCTTCACTAGCCGAGATGAAAAACGCAGTCAGTAAAAATGCTTGAATGCAAATGCAAATCAACAGGTCACAACATCGACACCGAACAGGAAGCAACAGCGACAAACAGAAACCGCAAAAGGAATCAGGAAAGAGGGTCAGGAAATAGGCAGGTACGCCGGATTGATCAGATCCGGTATCCACCGAAATGCCGTAGCTTCATTGGACTGGATAGGCAAATCGGCTCCAGTCCCCCTGCAATGTGGAATTTCCGTCCGTGCTCCAGGACGCTTCACACACACACACACACACACACACACACACACACACACGGAAAGAGCGCCAGCGATGAGAGGATCTGCAATGGAGCTGAAAGGGGGCGGGTGGTCTAAGGGAGCAAGGCAAATAGAGGGAGGATGGGCCAAACAGGTATGGCAAGTTGTGATTTCCTGTACCCACTCGGCCAAGGGGCAAGACTGGGTCCTCGCTTGCCACAAGCACAAAGAAGTCAACGTGGTGCACCTTGTAGAAAGACCCTAGAAATGGTGAGATTCCTGTAGGCGTCCATTTAAATCCAGTGGAAAAGGTGCCCTCCCCCCATTCTGTGATCCCAAGCATGGTTCCCCTCTCCATGACTGGCGCAACATAATAAACAAGTAGGACTCAAGGGTATCACTTTCACACACGTTCGGCAACCTCAGGGCCCGCTTCCAACTCCGCTTTTGCCCGAGCTGATTAACTCTCTTTTGGACAATGGTTCATGGCTTGTCACCTTCAAACGGCATCAACCGATGTCAACTTCTGCCCCCCCCCCCGCCAAAGAACAAACAAAGAACAAACAGTTGCCGTTCAATCGCACACCAAAACCTTCGCGAGTCGCCGATGTCCCGACTTCCCGATTTGGGTGTGGGTCAACAAAACCGCAGGTTTGAGTCCATGTTTCCATTTACCAGGGCAACCCAATTTGGGGTTACCCTATTTTTGACACCCACAGCCATTTGTCTGTGGCTCAAAAAGCCGGCACCAAAACTGGGCTGCCCTGGTGGAAACATGGACCAAATGGGCCAAACCCGCGGCGTGCCCCTCAGCCACTTGGCCTTCTGCTGCGCCGCGAGCTGCAGCTCCTGGAGCTTCGTCTTCTCCAGCTCTGCCTGCTGACACCGCTGCGCCGCGGAGGCCCGCTGCAGCTCCGCCTGTGCGACGCACGCGCGGCGGAAAGGCCCACCAAGCGGGGCCTCTGGAAAATCCCCTCCGAGCTGCGCTTGGTGGTATTTTATTGAAGGGATTGAGTTGCCCTTGTCTGCCATTCTCACTTCCGATCGACTAGATTGGGTGAAAGTCTGGAAACTTTTTGTTTACCACCAAAGTTGTCTTCTCAAAAAGTATAAAGTCCATAAACGCAGCTTGTGCTACGGTTTAAGTTGCCGTCGCCATCTTTCGCCGACCTGACATGATGAAATGCTTCGGGCTTTGGCCTCCAATGGTGACATGGTTGCTCACAGCAAGGCATGCCAAGTGAATGAGCATCATGAGTCAGCATAATGAAGCAAACAACTAGTCCAACCGAAACGGCTTCCGCAGCTTACTGATGAAGCTTTGCATCCCTGCACTCTACCCAAGTCAACTTGCAATGGGGGGAGTTTTATCTATCAAATATGTGTGTCCATTGAACATTTCCCACCCAAGAACCCACAATTATGGCGGTCTAATTACTGGGTGGATGCCTTCTTGAGCTTCAGCGGCCTCACACCAATGCCTGCTTGCTGGGGTCTTTGCGTGGCTAATTGCAGGGCAGGAAAATTCAGCTTCCCCCAATTGGTTGAAGCTTGGCGGTGTCCAACTCAGCACAAGAGCTACCTAGGAATTCAAGTCAACAAGCCAAGCATGAGCGGTTGCTGGAAGAAGCCTTTGACTAGGGGGAAAACACCCCTTTGGTTTTGAACCGGAGCCATCCAATGGAGACGGTTGCCACTTTGGAAGGTCGAGTCCTACGCGCCAAGTTTGACATGGTTGGAAGCGTTCAGTCCGTGGATTTGCATTGAGGAAGTGGGACCTCATTTGCGCCGTGCACAGTCACTTCAGTCAAAAAGCTGGGAACAAAACACAACCAGCAATACGAGGTTCTACTTCTAACAACTTGGCCTTGTGCAGCGCCAGGCGCTCCGGAACACAACAAAAATTATTGGCACGGGTCAAAATAGGGAGATCCAATGGATCCAACAAATGGCGGGCTTTAAAGTACCCGAAAAGGCTACCCAAAACCACACGCCCAATGAAAAAACAGTTGCCGAAAGCTTCCAAAACATCTATGTAAGGGCTCTTCCAAATAGGTTTGGAGTCTTTTCATGGTACCAGTTTTGCAAAGAAACCCCACCGCCTTCTTTTTTGGGGGGATGGGGGTCCCCTTTTTGAGATACATCCACGGGTCCGCCTCCTTCACCAACTTCTGCTGCTCATCCACCGTCGCCGTCTGGACCTCCACAAACTTTGCCTGACAAATGGCGCGCGCCGAGTCTTGAATCAGCCACAATTCTGGAGGTCTCCTAAAAAGACACACTCACACCCATATTCCTAGTGGTGTATTTGCACCAGCTTTCGAGACAAGAGAGACCAATCCATCCGTATTCCATGCGTCAGCGTGATAGAGCCTTAGCAAGGAGCAGTTCATCAAATGCTATAGGCACTCTAGCAAAAGTATAAGTCATTAAGTCTGAGCAAACCACATCAAGAACATGTCAACCATCCAATGCAGCCGCGCACACACGACAGCATTCCAATGCTTTCTAGCTCCTCCACTGAGGCTTTGGTGTAGCCACCCTGTGCAACCTTTGCCAGTGGATTTGGCGATTGACACCTGCGCATTGCCCTCGGTCCAGCCATTTTTAGCTCCGGTAGCAGCCGCCAATAGCTTTGGCTTTCTCCCAATGACCTTCCGAAAGCCCCGTTTTCAAAATACCAGGATTGCAAGCCAAGCCAACGGCCAAAGCTGGCCCAAAGAGCTCGCTTTCGCGAGAGTTATCCCGGCCTGAGCCTCCTGGAGCATCGTCTTGAAGGTGTCCTCAAGGCTTCAGACACTCCAACTACTTCCAACATGATGGTTTAAACAGGTAAAAGTCAATCACAAGGAAGGCTCAACGGAAACGGGTCGCCAACTCACTGAAGCTCCTCCAAGCAAAAAACTAAAAGCCAAAAAAGGCGTGACCCTGTCCTCTGCTGCTTTCCGCTCCTTGGCGCACAGCTCCTGCAAGGCAACCAAGACACGTCTCTGAACACATGTTCCATGTTAGTGGACTCATGTGGACTCACTTTTTCGGACCCTGAAGCAGCCTGTTTCTGCCTCTCACATGGGATGCAAAAGAGGCCCAAATTGTCACAACCCATGAGCCATGAAGCACCCAGTGGCCAGTGGCGATGCTTGCATTCAACTAGCTTCTAGGGTGACTTTCCTGCAATGATATCCAAGGGCTGGTAGGATTCCTGTGTTAACCTTTTCCAGGCCAGCCATTGGCTCAACAGCGCGAATCACATCCATATGTGGCCTACAACTGTGTAAAGGATCACTTGCTTCTAGGCCCACCATGGATACGCATGGGGAAGTCTTTGCACCCCGCCACAAGGACAAAACTGGCGCCATATGGCGCTCACTGATGGCCAAAGGCCCGTCTGGTCTGATGGCGGAGGCCCCGGTCAAAACCATTTTTTAGGATCTGAGGACCCTGGAAGCAACAGAAATCTGTTGAGTAGTGTTCTTTGCTGTTGCTTTTGAAGGAAGTTTGGCTTTGTTGTTGTGGTGACAGTAAAACGGGCAAATGCCATCTTTGTCCAGAAACCCTTTGACTTGACAACTGGTGCCGGGGTGCCACATTCATCGCAGGGATTCCCTCGGGGAAACCAAACAGTTATCGATGAAAGGAAGCTCGAGCTTGTTTCGTTGCCCATGTCAATTTGTGTATCCAAATGACTGCAATGGGCATGGCTCGCTGGACATAAATTGATACATGAAAATCCCGATGTGCTCCCCTGAAGGTTTCTGCTGAAGCAGTACCTCAGCCTTTTCCCCACCAAATGGCCCCTGTTTACATTGAGCGAACCACAAAATGTAGAACAATGCCAAAATGCTGAACCCTAGTTTGCGTGCGACTCCATGGCAGCCACAATCCGCGACCGCATCCGACCGCGTCATGTCCAGTCCTGTTGTTCCTTCTTGGTCTGCTTCAAGTGCTGTTTCAGCACTGCCTTGAGACCAAGAAATAGACAATGTCTGTGGGAAATGATAAAAGCATGGCATAAGAGCATAACTACAAAAACAAGAGGATGCTGTTGGCGTTCCTGCAAAATATCCTGGTGTCCATTCTCCTTGCAAACCAGTACAATAGACATGTTCAAGCAGACACTCTGCTCAGGAAGCTAAAGTTGAAGAGGCATTTAATATATTCGCGTGTCTGTGTCTTTGTGTGGTGACATCAGGCAAACGATGCAACCAAGTCAAGAGACAAAGAATGAGATGCCCACTCACAGGATGAAAGTGTCCAACCCCCATGAACCCTAACGTGGACTCAAGTTGCCTTAGGGTTTGGCGGTTGGTGCTTCATATAAGTGTCCATTGTAGGGACCTCAGCTCTCAACCCCCTTGGCCTAGTTTTACCTGGGCCGTGCCTGACTTGAAAAAAACAAGCGAGGTTGTCTTTGCAGGGAGGGGGTCACTATGAAAGTCTGCAACACAGCACCCGTACTCCATACCTTTGGTATTCAACCCACTCAGGAAGTAGATCGTAGGTTACAAACCATGGACATAAAGGAACTGACCCCTGGCATTAATTTTGCAATCATGGCTGCAACCTACTTAGCAACCAGACGTTGCTTCAACATGTACAAACTCAAACGCGGGGTTGTTCCCCTTCCCCCACCCCCTTCCCACAAAGGGGGCCAACTGCAAAGAAAGGCCCCTAGCCGCTCGACGGGCTCCGCGATTTCCTGTGACTGGGCGACCCCGCGTTCTTGGTCTGCCACCGCTTCTTGTCGCTGGCAAAAGTGGCGGCCACTTGGGCCAAGGCTTGAAGCAGCTCCTGAGGTGGAGTCATATTGAGGGGAGAGTTGGTTCCAACACCTAACTTACCGGATCCCATCCCATGATGTTGGAACCAAGTGCCAACCACAGAAATATTCATTGACCGAAATTGAAGGACGTGGAAACTTGGTGAACCCCACGCTCGCAAAAACTATACGTACTGATCTTGAAATGGGAATGGATTCGTGTTGTCGCGGGAAAAACTGCCAATCTCAACTACAAGTTCTCCACCAAGGTCTTATTATCCTATGCGGTGTTTCTTTGCCCCAGAAGAATGTCTTGCAATTCACCGAGTCCCGACCAACATCTATAGCAAATGAGATTCCGGATGCGTTAACAAAAGACTTCGATTTTGCCCTGAGGGATGTAGCCGAATCTTCGTTCAGTTGTCTGGTTCAAGACTCCTCGGTACACCAAATTCCGATCCCTCCGAGTGTCCATGGACCAATGGCCCTAAACCGACCCGCTCCTGCTTGGAATCTTCCAGAATCTGTACCTCAGGGTGAACCGCGCGCTGCATCAACATTCATAGGCTCAGAGCCCCCAAAACGCCAGTCGGGTGCAGGCGGGGCTGACTGCAAACCACTCGGGATCGATGTTTCTCTATTGAGCCCAGATTTGATCCAAATCAGTTTAAGATGCTAGGCTAAGCCTGTTGGGGATTTGTTATTTGATTCCAAGCCTGTAGAACCGCAGGGCTGCCTTGTAATCAATTGCGGCGCGGAACTCACGGTGTTTCTTCTCAATGTCCAATCCACGACTGCCAAACACGTTGCATTCCGTTTGCCACTTCCTCGTTTTCAAGCAGTCCATGACGGAGCACCAGCTCCAAAGGCAATTAGGAGTAGCTTCCGCAGTTCTTACGCCATGGCTCCTTTGTTGTTTCCTGATCCTGGCAATCGCGCACAAATTTTCAATATCCCTGGCAATCGCGCACAAATTTTCAATAGGCCCACCAGGAGTTCTTACGCCATGGCTCCTTCTTTGCCTGGATTCCCTTCGTGCGTGCAAAAGGCCCAGCTGCCCACGCCCCACTTCCGCCCCACCGCTGCAACGCCCCTTTCGGCCGCCGCCTCCTCGCCCCGCTGCAACGCCAGAAGCTCCTGCGCGGTCAAGGCCTGCTGCGTCTTCGAAAGGTCCTGCGCACTGCGCCGGGCGTCCGGTGCCCGCCGTGTTTGCGCCGAACCCAGTGGTGCCATCCCCATTCCCCGTGGACTGTGCCTTTGGCTTCGCTTTAAAAAATACGCCAAGAGGCGGCGATTCCCTAAAGAAAGCACATCCATAGTCTCCATATGCATATAACTGGGAAACCTAATGGTACCCGGAGGAATCATGTAAAACCTAGAGGTGAACATATTTGGATGCCCATAGTGCTAACTGTGGATCCATTTGCCAGTGCTAACCAAGGAACCCTTGAAAACAGAAGCCGTTTGCAACAGTACCGGCTGACAGGCCTTGCATGTACGATGTGCAGGTGTGCCACGCTTCTCCCAACTGTTTTGCCCACTGGAGCTGGCCCCCTTGCAGGCGACATATTGCACAGCAAACAAAGCACGCTTTGCACTGGTTTCGAGAAAGGGAGGAAGCTGTGATCTGGGCCTTCGGAAGCTAACCCCTGGTGTTCCATTTGTGAGATCCAAGATTAGCCTTCCTTTTGGCTTCCCCTTTGAAAAGGGCACTCTTTTTTGTTGATTGAAAGGGAAACTAGAAGGCGACCGCCCAGTTTGGGGGACCATTTTGAGGCAAACCCACAATAATATCCATCTATTGTAGTACATGGTTTGTGACATTCAGAAGGGCACATTGTGGTTTGGCCACATCTAGGGGTGTACATGACTGTTATATGGCTTACCTACATTCCTGAAAGCACATGGTTATTTCCCTTTGAACCGTTTGGAAGGCATCAAATGTTGATTACAAGTAAGGGGCCCTCAAAATGAACATGCCAAAGCCTCTCCAAATTATGTGGGTTGGGTTCCCTTCATCTGAAGGACACAGCTACATTCAGCGACCCAACTGGCCTCAATAGTCCCTAATAGTCACATTTGTCGGCTCCCCTTGCCATGGATCTGATTTAGACTCTTCCTTGTCATGTTTAACCCAAACTTGTTGATATTTATTGCTTGTTCAGTTGTGCATTTATTCATCTATTGTCTACCATGGCTCTATTAAAGGGTAAAGATGTAAAACGCTACAAGACTGAACGTTAATTCAAAGGAAAGTAAAGCTAAACTTGGACCCCAGCACCTGCATCCCTTGCATTGCACCACGTGCGCAACTTGCTCCTTGCTCAGTTCCGCGACTTGCTCGCGATGGGTCTTCTGAAGCGTCTCTAGCTTCGCCTGTCATCACTTGCTCAGCAGGGAATGAGGGAATGTGCCCTATGACCATCATCTTTCGTTGCTTTTTAGGGGACCCCTACCTTCCCACAACCTCTGTTGACCCTTATTGAAAACCAACAAGGCAAAGGCCTAACTACACCAGCAAACCTGGTGATTCATAGGACAAACATGCCTGCAAGTCTTTAGGCCCTGGTGTTACAGGGAACTATCTCCTTTCTAAAACGTTTGGGCACCAACAGGTCAACCCGTTTGTGAGCACCCAACACTGTTCTGTCAAACTAACGTACAGTGGATGCAAACATAAGTCCAGCAAGGGTGAGAACAAGAACCCTTCCGAATTTGACTGTTTCGGTTGATTTACTCCCTCACGTTAACCATAAATACCCCAAACCCATTCAAGGAACCTGCTTTTGGTGAACCCCCTTTTGGGTTCCACGTTGGTTTACTAAGCGCAATGCAAACCCCCGCCTGTGCAGTCCGAAGCCATGCACACAACGAATCGCTGAAAAGTTCGACCCTTCAAACGAGAAATCTGAGGGCGTGCCTTTTCTCGAGTCGGTACTCTTTGGTAAGCTTCTTTGAAGGAGCGTTTGTAAACGACACACTTTTTTCGGAGGGAAACACCATCGTGTGTGTGTGTGTGTGTGCGTGCACGTGCTGCTTTTAGTTCGTTTTGCCATTTGTGGCAACTTCATTCTGACTGGCGAGCAAAAATGTCTTTTTCGGAGGGTACACATGCTGGGGGTGTTTTAAAGAGATCCAAAAGGAGACCGTTGGCATTCCGGAGGTCTTTCACAACGCGGCAGCGACCCAGGGACAAACCGCAAACCGCACGCCTCGGCCTCCGCCTTGACCTTTATGGCCTTGCGACGCAAGCCGTCGGCAGGGGTCCAGAGTCCATAGGTAGGCGACAAAAAACATGGGCAAATTAAACATGGAGAGTTCTGGGTTCGTGGACAAAACGCTGTGAGCACATGTCTCTCCCAAATTCACCAACAAGCGGCAAAGGCTCTTCTACGCCGTCTTTGCTTTCCCTCACGCTCCAATAATGCTCGTCATATAATCAGAACTGGCTACCTGGTTCTGTTTCATCATTCTCATGGACAAGTGGTCCATTTGCCATTATCGGCTCACTTGCTGGCCCCTGAGCCATCAACACCTGGTATTGCCGTGATCCTCTAACCAATAGGGTGGTCCATATTTGTAGCTGGATCTTCCCCTTGCTAACCTTCACATACCATACCCCGGGTTTGTGTGGCTCAGGTAAGTATTTGGAGCTTTCACATCTCATGCCTTTCAGTAGTGATAGATTCCCTTTCACACCAACAGGGGAAAACAAAAACCACATATTCGTGAGCAAATGGAAGCCTGGCGTCTTTTCTTTGGTCTACTTGTTGCGCCTGCGTGCGCAGGGCCCGCTTGGCACGGCCCAGGGCGGAGAGGTTCTTCTTCACCTGTAAAAAAAAGCGTCCCCTTAGTTGGTGGAGTGGATTGGTGGGAGTGGAACCTTCGGCTCTTGTGCAGGGTGAATAGGAAGCTGAATGGAAACCGTTATCTAACCTCAAAACCACCAAACCAAACCACTGATGAGAGGGATGCGTGCCAGAAAAGGGGCACCACAAAATGTGTTGTTTCTGTTGGGTTCCCTTCAAACCAAGAGGCAAGGGTACCCTCACAAACAAAACCACACACACACAGACACACAAACGCACAAACACACAAGCACACAAACACACAAACACACAAACACACTTGGTTCCGGGGATCTACCTCAAAAATTGCTCCCGACCAAAGGTACAATGATCCTGACGCATATTTGGAACATTTAGAGAACCCTAACAACATATCAACCTGATACCTGAAAATGCCCCCCAGGGTAGTAGAGTCATACCCAGGGCTTTCCCCTTGGAGAAAAAACAATCACCCCTGGGTTCAAGCCGAAATCGCAGGTACTCAACACAATAGAAGCCTCAAAACTGGCACCCCGCTCAGCATGATCCCGCGAACTGATGACCCTTCTGGGAACCCAACTATGAAACGCAAGCAACCCCCGCCCAATGCTGGGGACCGCTCCATGGATCCCCTTTACTACGGTTCGTCAGGGTGTTGAGGAATTTTATAAAGCAAGAACTTAGACTCAAATGGTCCACAAATAAATCAGTGAGACTCTGACACGCTCAAAAAAATAAAAACAACTCCCCACTGAAACTAACTTGCATAATTATTTGTTTCCGAGCCCCAACTGTCACCTTGGATTCCTTTGCTCTGGGGCCTGAGAATTGGGTGCACGCTTTTGGGGCAGCAGCGTCCAATTTAAATAACTAAGTCTGCCAGGATTGGATCCTATCTCCCCTCGCTCCAGACACAGTCCACTGCCCGCTGAGGTAAAGAGTGATGCTATGAGACAAGTCTGCAAAGGAGCATATCTGCAGATATCTCTATTTTTCCAGGCGACTAGATGTACTACATCTAAAGGCGCAGCACGATGTAAATCAAGGCTTTGGAAATCGGACGCTGCTGCCCCAACCCAAGTCTCAGGCCCCTGAGCAAAGGAAACCAAGGTGGTCAAAACAAACCCAAACGCACTAGTGAGGGCACTGTGACACCAACAAAAATGGCCGAGAAACACCTCATTTCAATAAACACAAATGGAAATCCGGTCAAGACTCTGGATTGACACCGCCATTTCTTATTCCCTTTCAAACGTTTAAGAACCATTCCAGACCCTGGTCAAAACACGCGGCCTTGCCATTGTCCTGATTCACATTTCATGTTGCAGGTCAAGGCATGTTAAAGCCAGCTAAGGTCATTCCTTGCAATTAAGCTGCCACTTGGCTAGCTCTCATTGTAAATAAACAGCTGCCATGTCCTTACAAAACTCATGATAACTCCTTGGCTTCCTCTGAAGCAACATTTGAACGCTCCCAGCTCCATAACGACGGCCTTCCAACCACCAGCTAGGCCAGTGCTAAGACCCACTCAGCTGCCCAAAGGCCCCTGAAATAGGAGGTTCATCTTTCAGCGCTAAACCTGGGAACCCAAAAGGCCAAGCCAAAGGTCAGATCCGGTCGCTCGGACAAAGCCCGAGAACGGCCTTGGTCTCGGCCTCTTGGCACCTCATGTCCACGTCGGCCAAGGCCATCTGCGCGGCCATGTCCTCAGTGCGCGTTTTGCTGGGCGAGTCGATGTAAAATCATCGGGGCCCGGCTGGATTGAATTTGCGGTTGGCGAGTTTAGGGGGGCCCATTTATCCCCAATATACTAGGCTAGAATTAGGACCCCAGCGAAACATTATCTTTTTTGCCTGGTTAGTGGAAAACAAAGGGACCCCAAAAAAGCAAAAGCAAAAAAAAGGGGAGCTAATTCTGGGGAAGTCTACAAAGGGGGGTAGATTGTTTTCAAGGGTCACAGAGGGTCATTTGGTGTCTTCTTGGAATGCGCTTAGGAGGCCAACACGGGGGTCAATGTACATCCTCGAAAGGTACTTGGGCCCTTGCAAGGTTTGTCTTTGCTGGGTTCTTTCAACGGCAATCCACGGGGGGAGGGAGCGATTTTGGCAGATGGGGGGGCGATTTTGACATAACCCGAATATGGAATATGCAAGTCAAGATCTAAACACCGCGGGTGCAGTGCATTAAAGCATGAATCTGCTGATGTTGAACGACCTACATAATGCACTCATTTTATCAGGTGAGCTTGCCATTAAGTGGCAAGTGAATGCAAACATATTGTACTTGTATACATACACAGCTGATATGGGCATTCAGGGGCATTCAGGCAAAGAGGCAACCACAAGGCGATGGGGCCAATTGCGCAGCGGCCAAATTCCATTGACAATTGGTCCCATTTCATACACGTAAGAGCGAAGAAAAGTACTCTTCCAAAGCGAAACTACATGTGAAGCGCACAGTTGGGAAAAGACCCCAGAAACGCCTCCTCCTTCGGGTCCATGATTTCTTGGCTTTCGCCCAACCACCAGCATGGAACCCACGGGGGACGTTGACTGAGACATCCGGCCGGATGAATGACCTAAGGTTCGCCGGCCAGCTCTTGCATAGCACCCTTCAAGTCAGCGCCAGAAGTCCGAAAAGTTGAAATTCCACACCCGCGTCTCTGCTTCCAATGCATTATTTCACCCTCCCACGGGAAATGAATGCCAGCTACCGTCCGCGTGCAGCCAAGGGGCCCAGCGCTGCTCAGATTCTGCCAGCTTCATCTGAGACAACTCCCTTGCCTGGCCGCGGACTGACTTGAACCACTGTAACGAAGCATTTGACCAATGCCCCGCGGAAAACAGTTTCACCTTTCTTGGCGCACTTGAGGTTTTATGGACAAACGCGAGACCACTAAAACTGATTTCCGTGCGCTCCAGGCTCATTCTTGCCGATTGCGGGTCAGTTCGACCAAGTCCAACCGACCGGGGACGGCCGCCTTCATTTCAAAGACAAATGTGGATGACAACCTGCCCAACTCCATCGGCAGCCAAACCCATTCGTGCTGGCTTCGACCCAAGGCAACCCAGCAAAAAAGAGCCCAGGTGAACATCTGGGAACGCAATCAAACGCCCGTTGCAAAAAAATGCAAAATCAGCCTGGTTGGCTTCGTCGACGTCCTCTGCGAAGCGCATGCTGAACTCGCCTCGAATCCGGGCCTTTTCGAAAGACACCGTCTTTCTTATAGGTTGTTCCAAGCCCCGCTGAGCAAAAGGTTGATCACCTTTTGTAGGTTCAAGTTTTGGGGCCTTTGCCGTCAGAAAGGCCAGCCATGAACAAACCCATCTGTCTTGAGTCAGCTTCCCTCTGACTGGTGGTTTGGAATAGTGGTTTGGAGGTGTTCCCATTTACCCTAGAGGCATTGATTTCTTGCTTGCAGGGAAACCACAAAAATCAGAGGCCCTTTGCATGGCTCTGGCATCGACAGTAGCGGCTTGGGAATGTGTCAAATGGGACTGGCCCCAGTGGTTTACCATTGTCAAGGTCATTTCCTAAGTGAAGAAGTCAAGGGAAACCACACCCCCAGTTGTTGACTTTGATAACCACAAACAAGCAGTCAAAACAGCGAGGGCCCAACACGCGGGTTAAAAACCACCACAAAGGAGCTGAAATCGAGGCCAAGCTTCCCAGGCCGCTGCCTGGCTGGCAGCCCTTCCTCAGAGTGGAAGTGGACAGGGCTCCTATTGAAGTGCGAAGGCCACAGGCCGCACCAACACCCATGTGGCCATGAATTTTAATTAGGGACTCTCTGGTGAACATCATTTAGGTGCTGATTCATGTCCACCAACCACTTTCCAGAGGGCTCCTTATTTAAGTTCATGGCCAAAAAGGTTTCACTTGAGCCCCTGGTCATTTGGCAGCTATAAGTCGAAAACCCAGAACCAGCGGACCATCGGCAAGGGGCCTTCTTTGTGGGTGGGCTCGTTTTACCAAGGTAAGCTCGCTACAACTAGTGCAAGGGCCTGGGTACTATGCAAAGATTTGAAGGAATGTGGACGCGCGTCTTGTTTTGCCCAGGCAATCCCCTCTGAGTCAAAAACCTGAACACTATGACAACGTGTTCACCACGAAAGGGTGAAAAAAAGCAATCACACACTTATCCAAATAGGATTGCACCAATAAGTTATCCATACACTGGAAGCACAAATCGATCTAGCTCCGGGAAACCGGGCACTAACATTGCTCAGGTGAGTCGTTGGCTGACTGGCAGCTGGCATAAGGGCACCAGAACTGACATAACTGGCAAAGCCAATGACCCGAGTTAGAGGATAAGGTGCTTAAGGCGCGGGGGGAACGAGTAAGCATGGGAGACCTGGTGGAATCCGCCGAGTAAAAACCAGTGTCTAAATCTGACACGATCCTCTTTGCCTAGTGGCTATCGTCTTTTTCACTGTTCTGGCCTATGCTCCTTGATTTTGCATACCCTTCCCCCCCCCCCCCCCGCAGCCCCCCCGCAGGCAAGAGAATTCCCAACAGCCAATATCCAGGGCCTGGGAAATGTTATCCCCGGTCGTTGTCACTCCGTCCCCCACCCCTTCCCTCTGGTGTTCAAAAGGATCGCCATGGACTATTCAGCCTTCACAGGGCCAAAAAATATCATTAAACCTCTGGAAAAAAAACGGGCAATCACAAAGTCCGCCGTTAACTGAGCTGTTGCCAAGGGGCAGGACCTTCTGGATGATCTTCAGCGAGTCCTTGCTGACCATATCTGCATGTCTTTGGATAAAGGCGCGCCACACGTCTGACTCCTTGCGAATCAGTTGCGGCAGCTCGTCCTCAGCGCCGGGGACATATATAGGCGAGACATATTTATGGCCAGGCTCGCACGTTTGGGGTCCGCGCGGTAGTGTGCTTGTATGTTCTTGTCACCCCCTCCAATATGAAAGGTGGGCCTTGGACGGGGTGTTCCAGCATATCTTCAAACAGTCACATGCATACACACATACATATATATATATATATATGTATCGGTGCACTATGATAACGTGCCCCAGGGGACAACACCAAAGCACCTGTTTCCACCCTCAAAGCCGTGCATGTTTGCTTCCGAAAGGCTCTTTTCTGAAACCAACCTCGGCTTGTGTGCTTGACTTGTCCTTGGAATGGGTTGGTCAACGAATCTAGACCATTCTAGACCAACGTGTTCTTATATAATTGATTGAATAAGAAACAACGAATGAGGATCATGACATGCGAGACCCGCGGCGAGTATCCTTCAAGGCCTCCTCAATCTCAGGCCAGCTTTTGCCGGAAAGCTCCTGGCAAAGCAACACACAGAGTCTACAAAAGCACACACACACACGAAACCAGATACAGGGGCATCCAGGGGTTGGCCGGACGCCTGGTATCCCGTAGATCTTCCCTCATCAGATGTCTTGGACACACGCCGACGGCGAGCTCATAGGGTTGGGGCCGTGAAAATGAGCCAACGGGCTGGGCAGTTGAAAAAGAGCGGGTTTTTCGGCAAAGGAACAAGCAACCCTCCCACATGGAAAGGCGCATGCTTCCGACACGCACATTTGGTGGGAGGTGACCTTTATTGGGGGCGTGCAAAAGGAATATCTGAGCAATGCACAGTGCCCACACTAGTCTCCTTGCTGCAATCTGCTCAGCATGACGTTTCCATATGGCACCCGAAGGGAGCGGGGGGGGCAGGCTGAGTTGCACGGCGCAACAGGAAACTCCAAGAATCAACGATGTTACATGTTCATCAAGCAGAAACTTAGGGCACTCAGCAGTCCCAGAACTGGCGCACGCTTTTGTCCAGGGCCTAAGCTTCATAGCTGGTGTCCCTCTCAAATCAGACGTGTTCACCTGGCTGTAGCCCCTGTAAAGGCCATGTTTGCACTAAACATCCAAAGCTGACTGAAAAAAAGGCCACACTCCGGAGCAAAACATGTATGTGCAACAATTATGCTGGAACCCCACCCTCCCTCCACAAAAAAACAACAACAACACATGCCGTGACTCCCCGTCGCTTTCGCAAGAACTCGCCTCAAGTAGCTCCGGCTTGGCAAAGAGCGGGGAGATGACCAGGAAAGCGCGCGGCAGCCGGTCATGCACCTCACTCGCATGAAGAACCGGTCGCGTCAAATGGTTCTCTTCTTGGGTGCTGTAGATCACCATCAAAAAGTTCAACTTTTTGCTGGTTAAAAGGAAATATAAGGGGAATCCAACAAGTTAAAGTCTAAAGATCCAACCCAATAGCAGTAGAGTCTTCCTGTTCTCAGCTTTCCTGCAATTGCTGGTTTCGATTGGTGGCTGGGTGGTTGAAGGAAGTTTTCTCATTTAGCCAATGCAGGAACCAGGGGTTCAAATATCAAAGGGCCTGAAAATACAAGATCAACCTTGTGCGATTTTGACTAAAGATAGGTCAAAAGGAAACAACAAAAGGGCAAAAGGTCAGCTTTGGACAAGCGAGGTACGCTCTGTTGCAGTTCCTTTTCTCTGTGCGCAAAGAAAACACGAAAAGGGAAACCACCATTGTTCCCTAATTAGAATGCATAACCAGGGGACAAACCCTAGTTGTGGGGCACTGGACCATAGACTACTTGCAATTTGTGTCAAAATCAGGAAAGCCGAAAGAGGGTTCTCCAAAACAGGACACGCTTACATGAGTTTGAGCCCAAGGGACCCACTTACAAAGACGGCCTATGTCTGGCTTCCCTGCACAACTAATCCAAAAGGGGATATTCCTGTGCGTCCTGAAAGCAGATCCGCCAAAGGGGGTCGAGAAGCTATCCCAAATTCAAATCCTCCGACCTGACAGGCTCACAGGTGAGGAGTCCCAATTCTTACGGAATTCCAGGAAGTCCTATTTAAGTCCTCATTCTAGCTTGGGGGTACTCGAAAAAATGGAACCCTGGGTCATCTGGCTTTGTCTCGAAACAGGGGAAACCCAAAATGGGTGGCTTCGCTTTGGTGTTCCTTTACGCCAACCCGAAAACGGGTAGCTACCAACTCCGAAAAATATCATAATATGGGTGTTTCTCAAAATTGACCCCCCCAAAAAAAACAAACAAACAAAAAACAATCAACCATAAAGTGTTCTTGCGCTTCGCCGGGTCCCCTGTAATCATTTACTACTGCGGATGTGCCCGGGGCGCAGTCAAGACCAAGGCCAAGTGATGATGCTCCAGCTCCATCAAGGGGCTGCCCTGCCAGCGATATCCTCAGCGCGTGTTTAGCGATTCACATCTTTCGGCAAAAGTTGCAAATTGCTTGGTGGCCTCCATTGCAACTGCCGCTCGAAACATTGAAATTTATCAAACCCTGGCAACTTCCGCAATAATTCGAAACCCGGAAATGAGGGATCGCAGGGTCAAGGACCTACATCATGGACTCGTTTCGCAGGTGAGCTCGCTGTCAAACTTCCAGGTTTTATCTGGGCTAAGAAAGGCGCTGCTCTGTGGGCAACCACTGGAAAGGGGCCCCGAGCATGTCAAAAGCTCAGTGTCGCATACCGAGCCCGAGGTAACCCTGAATTGGTGGTGGTGGTTTGGATCACTGGATCAGCCTTTTGAGCCCAGACAGGTTTACATGGGAATCCCTTGAAACACCCCCAAACTACCAATCCAAATTGGAGAATGGACGTGGGGTCCCCGATCCACTGTAACCGCAAGGGATGGCCTCCTTCTCTGCTGAGAAGCAACAAGAAAGGAATCTCCTTCCTGGCTTGGGGATTTGAGCCCCTGGTTCTTGTAGAGGTTGAGCCACCTCCAAGCCACCAATCCACATCACCAACTAGGGGGAGGCTGAAATCAGGGACATCTTGGTGGATATCATTTGCACGAGCTTTGTGTCCATCAGCCAGGGTTCCCCAAACCAATCCAAACCATCAATCAGGGAGGAAGCTGATACCGGCTTGATAAATTTACCATCAGAGTCAATCAAGTTTAAGCTTAACTCGGAACGCCTCCAAACCGCCGGGACTCCTGGTAGCTCCCAACGGCTCCCAACCGCCTAGACCAATTCACATCACCAACGAGCGGATGGAAAGCCAAAGGAAAAAGTTCCAAGTGCTCCTAGCTCCCAACCCGAGCTCGACCAAGCCACAGAACGAGTGACCGGAAAGCCGAAAAATTCGAGAAAAAACCGCCAAGCGTCGGATGAGATCCCGGAAGATGGAGGGCACCTTCCGCAGCACGTCGCTGGAGCTCTGCGGCCTCTCCCGCAGGAATACGCAGCTCTCCTCAGTGCTTTGGGTCGTTTGGGGGGGCTTCGGGGGCGGGGTTCTGGTGCAAATGGACTGAACATGCTCCTACGTACAAGAACTTCTGCGCTCCGCTGGCGGGGGCTGGTCAAAATGGCAAAGGACCTGGACAACATGACTAAATAATCGATCAGAAAGAAGACACCGGCAGGTCACAAGGTCGATTCGCTTTGGGCACGCGAGAGTGTCATCAGTCATGTTGTTGGCTTCCTCGATACTTTCCCCAAATATGAAATTATAAATGGTACTCCAACATGAACACATGAAACTTATTCGTCCCCTTTCGGTTTCCTTTACCCTCTGACCAACTACACAAGACAAACATTGTCTTCCAGGGACCTCCAGTCAGGCGCCATGGTAGTTGCTTAGAGGTGTCTGGCCCCATCAAGAATTTTCGCATGATCAACGTCAGCCCCCAAGTGGTATGTTAAGGGAAACATCAGCCCCATCTTCTGACTTTGATAACAAAGAAACAGTCCACAGAATGACCTCAGGCACAAGGGAAAGCAACAACATGCGCAAATATACCGCCCAGTTTCTCTGGTCACCGGAAGATTCTTCACCGAGTGGAAGCGGATCACGTGGTCGTGGCCTGTTGTTGAGACCAGGGCCGAGATAGGCAAAGTTGAGACATCATTTACATCCGGCTTTGTATCTACTTCGGGGCATCTTCCCCATTAAAAAAAAAAAAAAATGACAATGTGGGAACCGACGCATGGATGAGCCCCCCAGTCTTATGACTTTGGGCGTTCCAGTCCGCAGGGGGTCCTTCCTTGCAGCTGGGAAAACATATTAACATCTCCTTCGGTGTTGGAGATAAGGTGATCCACAATGAGTTGCAACTGAACAAAGCACAGCCGACCACAACACCCTGGCACTTCACGCTTCGTCACAGGGTTTCAAATGTTCCCCTTGCGATACTTATTTCCACGGGCCGAAGCTATGCAAGGTGTTAAGCCCTGTAACAAAACGCGGAGGCCATACACCATGATGTACGTACGCAGGTTCTACGCCTAAAACTTGCTGGGGCATAGTCGTGGTCAATCTGAATGGAAGAGTCTGCATATCACCCCCCCCATTCCACACTCCCAAAAACGAAAACAGGAACGACTTGCCTCGTCTGGTTGATACGTTGGCATTTGACTGCCACCAGGGGTCATTGTAGTGATTGGCCACGAGCAAAGCCGAACATGTGCACCACCGGAAAATAACATTCGGGACCCTGTCTGCCTCGTGTGTTAAGGAGGTGAGGCGCTCGCTCGCTGCTTTGAATTGGTACATGCGTCTAAAAGCTTGCAATTATCTCTTCCTGGGTGGGTGCGCTCCAAAAAGTTCAAACTGTTTCTTTACCACCAAAATGGTCTTCACAAAAAGTTCAAAGTCAAGGAAATCAGGGAATGAGGCTTCCCTCTGCAGCACTTGGAATAGTTCCCAAACATGGGATTTGGGATCATGGAGCGGAACGGCAAACAAGGCCCTGCACAAATTCCCAAAAGCCTCCGGTTCCTTGGCGTCTTTTTCACAGGCCTCCTTGGGCTTGAGGGACACCAAAGGAAAGCATTTTGGGGGGTCTAGAACCACAAGTCGCTCCAAGTCTTGGCATTGGCGTTGGCCATCTTGTTGCATCTTCATGCATCTTCCAAACGGGTTGTCCTCATTGGGTTTCCCAAAAGGGTGTGCGTGTGGGCCGTTCTTGTCTCGCTAGTAGATCAACAGTGAAGGGTGGATAATTTGATAAAATTGGGATGGGTTGCTTCTCCCAAATGAAAATGCCAGGGAATTAGATAGGATAGAATTGAGATGCTTTTGTCTTTCCCGCTGCCGAAATCGTTCCAAATTACATTGAGAATTCGCGGGGGGGGGTCCGCCAACCCGAACACTTTGACATGAGATGGGCCAAGACTCCGCAGGGTTCACAGTCGTTCTGTACGGGTACCCTCGGGTCCATCAATGCCATGTTCGTGGACACGAGGGTACCCCCTTCGTGCTCGTCTAGAAAAAAACAAGAGGAACACGAACACCCCTTAGCCAGACTCGGACCTCTGGCACGTTCTTTGGCCAGCCTGGAAACCAGGAAAACCCAGAAGGGCAAAGAAACAACTCAGGTGCCTTGGGAGATGCCATGGACGAAGTAAAAGGCTACACTCCAAGCGGCTGAAGATCTTCTTCATCTTCTGCCCTTCCTTACGCCACAAGCATGGCGGCCAGTTTCCTTTCTGGTGGAAAGAGGGGGGGAGAAGTCAAACCCGGAAACATATTCGACCCCTTCCAGTCTCCCCCCAAATGACCCTGCTAACGAAGAAAAAAAGGAAGTGACCAGTGATTCCCAGTGTGCTGTACATACGATATATGGACACCGTTCCTCGAACGGTGGGGATCTTGACTACGTATGTTTGGGCCAACGTCTAACAGGAATTCGCTTGAACAAGCGGACTATGCGTCATGCCAAACGAAGCCTAGGCGAAGATGTGCTCGCAACCCAAAACCGCTTCATCTTCATGTCTAGTTCCTTAAGCAAGCCAACCACGGGGTGCCAAATTGCCACACGCGTCAAAAAGCCAAGGGATCTATATATGGAAGCTTGAATGTTACAATCATACAAAGAAGAGTCCTCACACGTCTAGCCTCCACGGGCAAAGTTGCTCGTGTTAGCAACTTGTTCCATGAGCGCAGCTCTCCCGGAATCATCTAGTACGTAGTTGGACCCGCTGTGTTTCAAATACAACTCCTCCATCTGCCGTACAAAGAAAGAAATGTTGGGTGAGGAGTCCACCCAAAAAATATTCGCGCCCATCCGATCTTATTTGCCCAGGTCAATCCGATCCCCTCTCCGCATCTCCCTCCCTCCCTCCCTCCCTCCCTCCCTTTTTCGGGTACGCTCCCGGAATCCGCTTCCGCTTCCGAGCTGCAGAGTCCGGAGCCTTGAACATGGCGGCCACCTCCTCTCTCACCGCCTCCACGGCGCGGACGTACACCGGCGGCAGCGAAGCCTCAGCCTGCAGTCCAAGGCTCAGCTCTGATTGGCTTGGCCTCTGAAGCTTGGTGTCTCTCATGTCCCAAGGTTCAGCTTTGACTGCTGGTTCGGCTTGGTTTGGTGTGGAGGATAGGGTGGCTTCCTATCCAAGCCCAATCCAACTCAAGGTCGCACACCCCAAGGTCCATATGAGTTGTGCGACAACAAATGTTCCCCAGCTCGGTTTGCAATTCCGGGTTTGCCATTCCTCTGATTGGGGGAAGGTAACACTTTGCGCCTATATCTTTGGACATTGAGGAAGCCCAACAATAGCGATGATTATGATGATGATGATGATGACTATGATGATGATGATGATGATGATGATGATGATGATGATGATGATGATGATGATGATGATGATGCTGATGATGCTGATGATGCTGATGATGATGACGATGACGATGACGATGACGATGGTGATGGTGATGATGATGATGATGACGATAAATAATGGCAATGATGACAATGATGGCTTTTATGGCGAGAACGACTGCTTCTCAGCTTTCCAATACTTGGTGATTTGATTTGGATTTGGGGTTTGGAGGGGGCAGTTTCCGATTTATCTCCTGCAAGAACCAGAATCAAATCCCAAGCGACAAAATCAAACCATCAGTTAAGGCATTGTTTCCAAACAAAAACAATGAAGACCGTGAACCGACTTTTCTTCGCCATTGGAAGGTCTCCGAAGATATCGAATCCGCCTCATTCCCCGCCAGCAGCTGCAGGACCTGGTCCTTGTGCTCGTGCAACTTGGCGCAGTGGTGATAGACGAGGAGCTGCTTCTTGTTCTCCAGCCACTGCAGGCCTTGGAACCTCAGCGAAATCCTCGAAGCGCCGACAAATGAGACAGGGGAACAAGTTGGAAGAAGGAGGGACAAACCAACATCACTTTTGGAGTATTCAGAACAATCCGAAGTTTTGCTTGGCCACTACAATGAGCTTCCCAAAGAGTAAAGTCCAGAAAACTCAGAAAACGAGACAAGGACAAGGCGCGAGAAGGGGGGGCGAAGCAAGACGGCCGTGGCTCAAATGCGGCCGAAAGTTTGCAGGAATGGATGACTGGGGGGCATAAAATTATGTTGGCACTGGAAGGGCTGTCTGAGGGTGGTGTGACTTGCTTGCCTCTGATGCATTACCATGGGCAAGTCCAAGGAGTGACACGGACGGGCTGTCCAAAGAAGCTTCCAAGAAAAACCTTTACACTTTTAGGTGGCCCGAACACTTTTCTAGAAAGATCGCCTAAAAGGGGCCACCCTCCAAAATAATGTTGATCCCGGATTAATAAATCCGTCGGGTGTTCTTTTCCCGTGATGAACCCACAACAAGGGACACCCCTATTGATCAACAGGGGGGATTCTACTCCGGGGTTAACATGAGTTCCTTCCAAGCCACGGCTCGCTGAAATAGTCAAGTTCTCGCAGCAGAGACTCCACGATCTTGCTGTAGGCTTTCTGGGCCAACGCATCCTGCAGCTCTGGACGTTCTAGGAGCGGGTCCCCCACATCTCCTTAAACGTTGCCTCACCAAAAGGAATCTCACCATTGATCCAACTGGCGATGTTTAAAACCACCAAAGGGGGGCATAGTGAGCAACAAACAATCAGACCAGCCCATTGGAGATTTTCCAGGAAAATGGGGTGAGCCAGAAATGAGGAGCTAACTGAGCTAACAGATTCTTAGACACAAAGATGTAGGATGCCATGGGGTTCTTTGATGCTTCCGGAAGCACCGGCTCAAGCCGTGAGACTGGCCGGAGCTGCGGCTCTCTGCTTTGGGGCGCTTGGGGCTGGAAGCTTCGCTGGCTGACTCCATCCCCAGCCTCACGTCAAGCCAGGGCAAACTCAAAAAATGGAGACGGCCTCCTCTTGCATTCCCAAGCCAACCTATAAAGGGCACCCAACAAAATGTCCAACATTCGGTTTACCACTAAAACGGTCTTCCCAAACAGCTGCAAGTCCAGGAAGCCAGGTGAGACACACCCTCAGATGCAATACCTTCCGGCCTCCATTTCATGATCGTCAGCCCAGGTTGTATGAAGACCACCGGCTTTGACCTACCACCAATCTTACTCCTGACAGGGGGTTTGTCTCAGAAAAAAAGGGCGCCCGCCAAACGGCCGCCTTGCTCTTGGATTCCCAGTAAAGCCAACCTAAATTGGGCACCCCCCAAAAACGTGGGCCAGCGGATCCGTAGAGGGCACCCTTGCTGCTCGAACTTGGCAGAGCCAACGTCAATCGCCATGTTGGACTTCAACTACGGCTGACCCGATTCCTGAGTTGATAGCCGAAAAAGGAACAAACACATGGGCCTTAGGATTTGGAACTTGGCTGCCCTCATTTCAGGAAATTGTAGATACGTGCCTGAAATGTCTGTTGCTTATGGTGCTAGAGCAAAAACAAACGCATTGACAAGTACAAGTCATGCACCTATAAAACCACCTGGCAAAGCTTCATACCCGCCTCAAGCAAAGGAAGGTAAGCAAGCAAACCACAGGCCCAATTCTCCCCACTTCATTTTCTGCGGAAGCAACTTTCTACAGGCCTCCCTGCATTCTTTCATTTTTGCAAGAAGACGTGCTCACAGTGGCAGCCGAAAAGTGATGTAAACATGGAATACAGGGACCCCTTCAAACAGCGGTGCTTGGTTGATGCTTCAAACAACCTTGGGTGAACTCGCGCTTGTCATAAAGCCTGAACTCCTCAAACATATTGGTTTTTCGTTTGGTTTCTCTTTGACCCACCGAATAAGATTGTCCTCCAAACAAACAAAATTAGGAAACCAACGAAATGTTGTTCCTGTTTCTGTTGGTTTTTCTTAAGCCCAGCCAAAAGGTTTCCCTCAATACTTGCCACACAAACTAGGAAACCACCAACGAAACGGTTTTCCTTTCGCCTTCCCACCCCAAAGAGGCTTCCTCAAAAAGAAGACAGGTGCATGTTCCCGCATTTCCCGCCTTCTCCTCCGGCTTTTTCGGCGCCTTCTCCTTCTCCGGGGTCTCCTCCTCCGCGGGCGGCCTGCCAACAGGGGAGCTCTCGAGGGAAGCCCCAACCTGGACTCTTGGAATTCTCTCAGCCTAATGGTGAGTAGTTGAGAGCCCTAGGGTTCCTTAGGATTTTCAAGATTTCCCTAGGGTTGCCTAGGGTTGCCTAGGGTTAATGAGGGAGCCTTAGACAACCCCCCCCCATTTGGAGCACCTGCCCTCTTAGGAATTAAGCAATTTGGCACCCCGCAAATTTGATGGGGATTCCTTCCTTCCAGCCCTTCCACCCTCAGAGCACCTGTGCGAGTGAAAGGTCCATTTCATCATGGAACCTGCCATTTGTCAAGTGCCACGCAGCCATATATCCATATATATATAATACATTCAGCCACTCAATTACTTCAGTTTAGCAGGTTCCCTCTAGTTGGTGGTTTGGAGCTGGGAAGTTTGGAGGTGTTCCGGGGGTGGTTTCCCAGTTAGCCTCAGCAAGAACCGCTTCAAATCCCCAGGCCGCCAATCTAAGCCACCGATTCACGATTTCCTGAATACTTGGATAGCCTGGTTCTGAACCTAGCTGCAGTTGGCTGGGCTTATTAGCTTTTTAAAATAACCCTATGCTATACAAGCGGATGCGGAAGACCCTTGATTCATTGAATTTCATGTTGATCTGGGGGGCGGACACGCTCCCTGGGTAGCCTCAGTTAAAGTAAGCAGGTCCTATATTACCTTGTTCTTGGAAATGATTGCCGCCAGTCCACGCTGTGGCAACAAGGATGCACTGAGCGACTAGTGCCCCTCTGGGGATGGCGCATATTGACACATCTCAAGAAATTGAGCACCCCTTCAAAGGGAAAGCAACGTTCCAAGAGTGAGCCACGCGGACTATCCTCAGTAGCTCATGTGACTCCATTCCCCGCTTTTGATGACATGGGACAAGTGGGGTCGCCGTCTCCCCAGCTCCCTCCTCATTCCCTCTCAGGATATGCCCCCAGCAAATGGCATTCCAGATTCCGCTCGATATTTTAGCGATGTGAGAATGTCCCAGGAAAGAAACATACAGAACACCTAGACCATTGCTTGCTTGTCCGAATTGACCTGCCTCACGTCGGCAAAGAACTCCATTTTTCTGCTTGCCTTTGCCTTCCCCTAATGACTGCAGGGGCTGTGCAAGCAGCTCAGGCGCAATTGCCCGGGTTGCTTGAAACACTACGAGAAGGATATGTGAAGGATTCTTGGTCACAACGCATCTTTTATTTTGACCATGAACAAAATGGATGGCACTCTTTTGGAACAATGCACCAAACAGGCGTCCCTACATCCAAGCAAGTAACATCCACCCATATCTCAAGTCAACTCAAGACCCGCTACTGGCTCCGGAACTGACAAATCCATGCCCCCCATGGCTTCCCAAGGATTGCTGGCTACTAATCTCCTGTGGCTTTCTTCGAGCGGGCCTTTGCCTACGGAATTGTAGGGCAGTCTGATAGGTGTCCTATATACGAATACTGATCCTGGAAATGGTGGGTCCATGAGGCACCCCCTCTAAAACTCCATGCGCAAAGGGCGTCCCGACACCTGGGAAACACACACACAAAAGGGCTGAAGCGGCAGGAAAACCTGCAGTGCCAGAGCCAAAGTCAGTTCTTTGGTAAACATCATTCCAAACCAGGTAACCAGCGGGACATCCTGATTTTTGGTGGGCAGTAAATGTCCTATAGAATTTCCTAGTTGGCTAGCTTCTGTCACGCTACGGAAAGGTGGCTTCGGATTCCGGACCAAAGACTTCCCCAATATACGTTTTTGGTGAACAAGAAGCGCACCAGCGCGCCTAGCCCCACGGCATTTGTGGCATACTTCCGCATTTTGATGCGGTCTGCGGGCTTGGACAAATATTCATGTATCACCGATGGACCGAGCGCAATGGCGCCCCCCTCCGCAAAAAGCGGCGAGCACTTGCTTCTGAGCCATTGCTTTGCCAACAGCACCCTGAGAAAACAGATGAGCAGTGCCCATTTGACCCATCATAGGGAAGGGTCGGACACTAAGCTCTTGGAATTCCGATCATTCATTCAATTGTCTCACATATCTCTCGTTTCTCACTGTTCGGTTGCTGAGTTTTCATGAAAGCCATTGGTATAATATCCATGCTGAACAAACAAAGATGCAACTAGTGACAAGGATGGACCACTCAAATCGCTGCGACCTGGGGTTTGTTGGGCGCTGCTCAAACGAGGCCCACACTGGAAGATGCATGCTCTGCTTGACCACGCGCCCTACCGCCCTCCCTGAAAGCCAAGCCTGACTCACAAGCTGGAAACCCCAACATCGGCATTGCTGTAAATTCCAAATTTGAGTTTTCACATTTGTGTACGTCCCTGAACAAGTCTCTATTTCCTGCAGCAGTGACAGATTTCCTTTGACTTAAAACCAACAGGGTACAATAGCAAACATTCTGAAACGCAAATGGAAAGAATCGAGCCGGATTTGTCAAAGGCACCTTCATTCCCCTTTCAGAATCAAATTTAGCTTCTTGATCCTGGCTTGGACTTTGACCCGCAACAAAATGCAGTATTTGGTGAGTCGGAAACACTTGTTGCACCAAACGGCACTATTGACTAGAGCTACATCAGCTCAAGGTGCCAACACGATACAACATATTTACCAGCCACTTAAGGTTTAAGCCCACCAAACGCATAAACGGTGTTCTTGTCATGCTTGCCCAGCGAACAACCCCCCAGCTGATTAATACGGGGTTCCGAAGAAAGGCTGGATCAAACACAGCCCGAAAAATCCAACAGCTTGGCACTGGACTTCTTGTCGTGGCTTGGCTTCCGTCAAGCTTCCAAAAGCTCAAAATGGCTGGGGCCGGAAGGGGCCGGAAGCGGACTCATCGCGCTGAAGTCCCCCCTACATCTGCATCCACGGGACTGGAAAACGCTTCCACGTTAGTTGGGTGGGTTTGCTCGGGGGTGCCGGTGTGTTGCTTCCGCTGGTATTGGTTGGGAAGTCATGTTCTCCTTTGCTTCACGGGGTTCAACTCCCCAGACTGCCTATGCAGGTCAAGCAACGCTGCCTCTTGCAACTGACTCAAACTGAAAAGTGCCAATCAACAAACGCGCTAAACCCGTGCAAAGTGAATAGTTGTTCAGGCTAGGTGAGAGGTGGGAGCCTGTGGTAGATTCATAGGGGAGTCTGATTTTAAGTGAGTCCTTCTCTTTTGCGACTCCGGGCGGTGTGGAATCCACTGGGCCAGTCACAATCTCAGCTCCCGCGGGCTCGATTCATTCGCTCCGCCAACGGCTGGGTACCGAGCGAGGCGGTCGGGGGACTCCCTCGCCTTTGACTCGCCCCGTGCGTCTTTCCCAACATGAGGCTCACTAAACAGCCACTGCTTGGTTGTCCTAAACCTGCTTGACATGCCCAGGGCTATCAAAGAAACGCCATGGTGGGTTAAAGGAAAACAAGCCCGTGTTCTGACTTTGATAACCCCCAGAAACCGTCAAAATCATGAACCCTGTAAAATGAAGGTATGTAAAGAGTGAAAAGCAGTAGGGATACCCCCTTCTCTAGCTTTTGTCTCGCTGATATGGGCCATTCCCCAGACCGAATCAACAGGCATCGATGCAGGCTTGTTGTTTCAATGTGCCATGTGTTGAGCAAAACACATTTGTGATCGATGTCTAAAGCACTCAGGGTACATGTCATGTCTCGAATCGTGGTTTTCTGCTGGTTCCCCTCTCCACAACCACTGAACATGGAGGAAAAACGCAGCGGAGCATGGGCACGGATCGAAGTCTTGAGCACACGTTTGTGCAAAGGCCATCTAAATCCTACACCCGGCTGTCAGGTGTTTAACTTATGCACATGAGCAACCTGCCTTACAATCCTGGCGTGAGGCAGTCATACCTATACGATTGCAGCTGGCATGAAAACATGTCACGCTCAAATGACGAGCTTCACCGTGCTTGAGGCGCCAGTGAAAAACCGACTCAGCAGGGCTGGCATGCTAGCAACGTGTGGGACAGCGTTGCTAAGTGCCGTATTTGCCCTCATGCAGCATTTGCCTTACAAAAGGACACTGTATTGGCAAGGGACTGTTTATTGCCGGCACACCCATCCTTTCACACAGTACTTCGGGGGCAGGGAGGGATGTTGGAGAAAATGCTCCATCATCGTACGGCTCTTCACAGCCACCAACTCCATACTGCTTCGAATTTTGACGCCTTGCTTTTTTGCTCGTACTCCACTTTCATGCCAGCTCCACAAATCGCCCGAAGCGAGCCCTGGGGCCCCATGCAACCATGCTGGATGAGTCCGCAGAATTCTACCCTCAAGGTAACATAGACACAGGCGGCTCTCTGGGGTTTGGTTGCAATCCCTTACCATATCACTGCTATCAAAAACCTCAGGTACACCGGTACACCGTACAATATCCCCATACATGTCCCAGTCTCGGTTACCTCGATACCCAAACAGAATCTGAAATGCAGGATGCTCGGCTGCTGTCTCTTCGCAAATTCCTGGAAAACCAATCACGAGTCAAAACTTGTGTCACCCCTTATCAAAGAGGGTGACCCTAGTGTTTCAAAGACTGAACGTCAAGGACTTGATTGATCAGTGGTTCAACTCCATATCTGTTTTGGAAAAGCGCTTCCCATCAAACATCTCTTTTCACATCGGAATGGGTTTCCATTGGAATCAAAACAAGTTGTCCTGAAAGCAAATGTCCCACATCGATGCCCTGTGCTTCGCGGATGTCGAGTGCCATCACTAGGACTCATCCAAAGTGAGATCCGGCCTAACTAAGGCCAATTAGAGTTGATCTGGCGACCAATGTCTAGCATCTCTGTCCCTTGCCGCTGCCACTGCTTGCAGGGACGCCCCCTTTGTCACGTAACACTTGGTGACGAGGCTGCTCAATGTAGAAGCAACACGTCTTGTCTTTTATGTGGGTGATCGCTTCTGCACGGCTGTCTTCAAATTGGGAAACCTACAATTTCAACATGTCCAGGTGAGAGGCTTGCTGCTCACCAA